TCTGTTGTTAATTTTTTGAGGAACCTCCACACTGTTTTCCAGAGGGGCTGAACCAGTTTACATTCCCACCAACAGTGTAGGAGGGTGCCCGTTTCTCCACATCCTCGCCAGCATCTAGAGTTCTCTGATTTGCTCATTTTAGCCACTCTGCCTGGCATGAGGTGGTATCTCAGTGTGGTTTTGATTTGTATTTCCCTGATGAGGAGGGATGCTGAGCATCATTTCATGTGTCTGTTGGCCATCTGGATGTCCTCTTTGGAGATGTGTCTGTTCATATCTTCTGCCCATTCCTTCACTGGATTGTTTTTCTGGTGTGGAGTTTGGTGAGTTCCTTATAGATTTTGGATACTAACCCTTTATCTGATATGTCATTTGCAACTATCTTTTCCCATTCCGTCGGTTGCCTATTAGTTGTATTGATTGTTTCCTTTGCCGTGCAGAAGCTTTTAATCTTGATGAGGTCCCAGTAGTTCATTTTTGCTCTTGATTCCTTGCCTTTGGGGATTGGAAGAATAAATATAGTTAAAATGTCATTACTACCCAAAGCAATCTACACATTCAATGCAATCCCAATCAAAATTGCACCAGCATGCTTCTCAAAGCTAAAACAAACTATCCTAAAATTTGTATGGAACCACAAAAGACCTTGAATAGTCAAAGTAATATTGAAGAAGAAAACCAAAACGGGAGATATCACCATCCCAGACTTTAGCCTCTACTACAAAGCTGTCATCATCAAGACAGTATGGTATTGGCACAAAAACAGACACATAGACCAATGGAATAGAATAGAGAACTCAGAATTGGAGCCAGAAATGTATGGCCAACTAATTTTTGACAAAGCAGAAAAGAGAATCCAATGGAAAAAAGGCAGCCTCTTTAACAGTTCGTGCTGGGAGAACTGGACAACAACATGCAGAAGAATGAATCTACTTCTTATTTATCAAAGTAACACTTAAGATTCTAGAAGCTTTGGAGAAATTTCTTTCCTATCACTTTTTTTAACTTTTTAAAAAATTTATTTATTTTGTGGACGTGTGGGGTGGTTTAGTCCATTAGGCATCCAACTTTGGCTCAGGTCATGATCTCACGGCTTTGGATTCTCTGTCTCCCTCTCTCTCTGCCCCTTCCCTGCTTACATTCTGTCTCTCTGTCTCTGAAGAATAAATACATGGTAAAAGAATAATTTTGTAAAAAATGTATTTATTTTGAGAGAGACAGCACAAGTTGGGGAGGGGCAGAGAGAGAGGGAGACAGAATCCAAAGCAGGCTCTGCACTGTCAGTGTGAGCCAGATATGGGGCTGGAACTCCAGAAACTGTGAGATAATGACCTGAGCAGAAACTTAGAGTCAGACACTTAATCCACTGAGCCACCCAAGAGTTCCCCTATTAATTTTTGAGTGTTGTGTATGATATTGACCTATCTTATCTAAACCATCTTATCTTTACAGAATGTTTTTTAAAAAAATGTGTTTTCAGGAGGCACCTGATTGGCTCAGTCGGTTAAGCATCTGACCCTTGATTTAAGCTCAGGTCATGATCTGACAGTTTGTGAGATCGAGCCCCATGTGGGGCTCAGGGTCTCTCTCCCCCATCACTCTGCCTCTTCCCCACTCTCTGTCTAGTGCCCCCACTCTCTCTCTAGCACATGAATGCTCCCTCTTTCTCTCTCAAAATAAATAAATAAGCTTAAAAAAAACTTGTTTTCAGTTACTTGAGGTTAGTTTTATTTATAAGTCAATGAAGTCTTTCTGATGCTTAGAGGAAAGCTATTTGGACAGTGAGAGGTGTAAGTATAAATTAAAATTTACTTCTGAAGAAAGTTCAAGCAGAGAGGATAACCAAACACATATTAATAAAAGAGATAACTATGAAAAAGTGTGCCATAAACAGGCCTATAGTCCACATTAGACTGCTAAAACCAGAAATAAATCTGTCTAAAGCTAGAATCAAACAGAACCTTAAACTGAAAGTAATTTAATGATTTAAACAATCTAATAGTTTAGGAAACTGAGGTCCTGAGTGGCTACATGGTTAGTGTAAGATTGAATATCTAGTTAGAAGATTTAGTAATAGAATCTAGGGTTCTTGACTTGGTCTTCTTAAAAATTTTATCAGTTTCGGGGCGCCTGGGTGGCTTAGTTGGTTAAGCGTCCAACTTTCGCTTAGGTCATGATCTCGTGGTTCGTGGGTTCGAGCCCCACGTCAGGCTCTGTGCTGACTGCCAGCTCAGAGCCTGGAGCCTGTTTCAGTCTGTGACTCCTTCTCTCTCTGACCCTCCCCTGTTCACGCTGTCTCTCTCTCTCCTAGAAATAAATAAAACATTTAAAAAAAATTTTTATCAGTTTGAAGATATGCTGATTAATACTCTTGTTTTTAAAAGTTATTTTTAAACAAATCTACTGATTTTAGATTAAGGGTTTTTATTCAGTAAGCTGTACATATAGCTTGTCAAGAAAACAAGTTACAATCCATAATGAATTTTATGTTAATCCACAAATAGTTTCAGCTGCCAGAAGATGGCACTGTTTACATGTGAAATAATACCTTATAAAAATTCAGTGGAAATGTGCTTCCATTTGTGCTTCTGTTCAAAAGAAAAATGTATTTAGTGGTGTCTAAGGTATTTGTATATGTGGAATATATCAGAATGAATTGTTGAATCATAGTATATTACAGAATTCCTATCTTTCTTTTAAACATTTAATATATCAGTAATAGTAATAAATCACTATTCAAATTTACATTTGATTTGTGTATTCAGTTTTTTTTACATGGAAAAGGAAAACACTTTAGACCGTTGAATCATTATTCTTACAGACTTAGGAGCATTTTCCTTCAAATTCTTAGATGTTATTTTATTCTCAAGGCCAATGTCTTAACATTGAGCAGTTAATTATAAATCTGATAAATCAGTGAGGGATACTCATCTTTATGATAATTTTAATAAGAAATTCATTTGCTAAATTTGGAAAAAATTGGGGCACCTGGATGACTCAGTCTGTTAAGCATAGGACTTTGGCTTAGGTCCATGAGTTTGAAGTCTGCATGGGCTTCTCTCTCTCTCTCTCTCTCTCTGCCCTTCTATTTGTGCTCTGTCTGTCTCTCTCTCTCTCTCGAAAATAAATACACATTAAGAAAATCTTTAAATTTTGGAAAAAATTATTGTGCACTTAGGTAATAATTATTAATTATGTCAGCTTGGAGAATTTGTTTTTTTCAAAAAAAGGATGTTGTAATAAAAACCCATTTTCCCCACATACTTTCTTCCTAAGGACTTTCTTTGATTATTGCCTCATATGTTCAAAAAGATAGAACAACAAATTGAATTATGATATTTTATTAATAAGCAATGGCTCGATAAAGTGAAAAAATATATATCTATACTAGTATAATTTATAATTTTTAATAATCCAGTTGTACATATAGAATATTATAATCTTATCTTTAATAAAAGTTAAGAACCAAGTATTACTGA